CTCCATGTATGCCATATATGCCTGCATTGACCCCCCAAACCCCAATGTAGGCATATATGGCATATTATGGCATACATGGAGCATCTGGGCAATGGCACACAGCACCAACCACTTCACCACCAGCAACCCTGGCCCAGCCTGGCAAACGCTCTGCAAAGGGCCCAGACCCATGGAGACCGTGGGATTCTCCCAAAAGTCGGGCCTTGCACGGTCTCATGTTCGCACTGAAGCGGTGGTTCCTTTTCCGACCACGTTGGGAGGATCAACACCTTCCGGACGCATCGTAAACCATCTTTCGTGCGCACTATAAACATTCAGGGCTCGGTCGGGAGACGTCCATTTACACGATGGATCGGCCACGCGTGTACTTCTTTAGGACTCGTTGGTGGCCGATCTGGGACACCGACCGGCTCACCGACGGTGGCGAGAAGGGAGATCCGACCCTCAGGGTCCCCTGGTCGGCTTAGGGATATCCCAAGAACACACATCCCGTTTTGGGGAACCCAATATGACCCCAACTACCTTGTTAGGAGTTACTTGGAGCTACTTAGGGCCCGGGATGGCACGGGCCACATGGGTTTGACATGTGGATGACCATCTTTCCAGGTTTTGGAAGGTTCATCCCAGACTGACGCACCATGGAGAGGCTGGAATCATGCTGGGAACTTCAGCGCGTGGCTGGCCTTCCAACACGAGGCTGGGAGCTCCCAGACTTGGCACGGAATTGATTTGAGGAAGAAAATCCGACAATCATAATCCTGCAACTCTACTTCAGTAGGAGCGGCTGTAAACAGGTGGTCGGCATTTGATCTTGTGGTCGGTCTTTCGTTGGAACTCTACTTCAGTACAATCCTAAAAGTCCCATCATATCCCATCGATGATCAATCCCTACAGATCAGTTTGACATCATATTACTGAGTTTCTATGTTCTGGATCTTTGGAAGTTGTAGGGGAACCTGCACATGTCTCGTGAAACCTGGGACATCGACTGCTGGGCTGCCGGGCATCAAGCGCGGATGGGGATAGCTGCTAAGTCCGGTACCACCCACCTGCCATCGACTAACCCCTAGCGGCCCTGGCCTTGCAAGAAAAATGGGGCCCGAGCCGGGCTTTGAGAGTTTAAACTCCTTCGTCACAGCAATGGTTCTTCCAGATTAAGAAATCAAGGGTTGGAATTCCAGGGTCACATGAATTCTGTTTTGTGATGATTTTTTTGGGGGTCCACTTCCACGGCTGGATCTTCTGGAGACTGAGAAATCCCAAAGAAGTAACAAAACCATTCAAGAAAGCGTTCAATCTGAGCATTGACCCCTTGAATTTCTCATCTACACTGGTTGTGCACACCCCTTTGCATGCTAAGTGGTTCCCATGCGAATCCCGCCTCCTGTCGAAAGTGCATGATGTGGTTCAAATCCTGAGTTGCAGGTGGCATGCACTGATCAAAGCTCCCATTCAGCTCAAGTCATTATACTATACACACTAAGTGTTCCAACAGGAACCGAAGACCGGGTAGATGCCTTTAAGAGTCATTTTGGCCCTACGTGTGACATGGTGTGACGAGTGGCGCCATGTCGGTGGGCTTACCAACTAATTGTAATTGCATGATATGCATATAAAATTTAACTATAGTTATAAGTTATAGTATAGTTGTATATTGTATGTACAGGTCAGGTCTTCGTATCTATGCGCCACTCTTAGTGATTGATGTGTGATAGTTACACAGCTGAAAAGGTGATTTTCGGTGATGCTTCCCTCCCAGACGTCGCCCAGTCCGTCGCCCAGACGTCGCTCCTCCACTCACCCGGTGTTCACCCGTGCCACCGGACACCTCCACCGGACACCTTCTCCGCAGCTCAACCGAAGTCCTCGCCGCGGCGCATCAACCCCGAGCCGGTCAGGTCTGAGGCTCGAGTCGTCCTTCGAGGTAGGCCCGCGCGTAGGCGCCCGGAGCCGCGTGGCCCTACGGCCGGGTGGAGTCGCGGCCGCTCCGCCCGGTCGACCGAAGCAAAGCAACGAACGTCGATTCGATTCGGTTCCTTTTCGGTGAACCGGTGGAAACCGTGTTTGGACCCACAGTCATACGGTCCTTTGCTTCCGGCCCGTACGACCAGCCTGGATGTAGATCTGGTCTCCCATGCCGCCACCTGGATGTGGATGTGGAAAGCACTTGGCAGGTTGGGATCTGGTGTTACATCGGACCAACACCCTTCACCTGACAGAAGACCCCGCTTCCAGAATCCTCCTGACATGTGCTGTGTTTCTTTGGGAGGGTGTCTTTTCCCTTGTAGTTCCTTTGCTTTCTGCAGCTTTGGAGGCGCGAGCCCCTTCAGGTTGACCAAGTATGATTCAAAGTTAGCTGGTGCCATCCAATCCCTCAAACATCCGATCCAACCAACTCCTCAAGTTCATCAGAGCTTGCCAGGTACAAGTACAAGTAGACCTAAGATGATCTATATAAGTCTGAATCCAAACCAGCTGTCAGGGTGAACCTTTGCAGGAAACAACGCAACTTCGCAAAGCGCAGCCGGGACGAACTGCTTGGCGAACCCCAACTGACCGTGGCTTCCGAGGTTCTCTCCGTCAAGACTTGCGGTAGTGGAAGTTGTACCCTCTGAGCCGCCACACCGTATCCCCTTCCACGGAAGATATGATGCATCCCTACCTGCATCCAACGACATTCGGATTGAAAAGGGAGACTGAAATAGTGGGTTGATAAATATGATAAATGGATGCTTGATCATGCTGGACCATCTGAGAAAAGGTTTAAAGGCGGCGCTGCAGGTGAAACGATGCTCCTCTTGGGAAGAAAATGTCTATGGGTCTATGGGACCGTTCCGCTTCCACGTTCAAATTGTGTGACAGAGTAGGTGAAAGCTGACACTCAGAATGCAGCTTGCTCCCCAAAGCACCCTGCCACACCAAATCAAATCGTCTCCTATCCATCAAACTCAATTGATTGCGATACAATAGCATGCCTCGCAGTTTTGTGCCCACTTCAGAACGGACTGACTCAATAAATATGTATCCAATGCCTACATCAAACCTGCCTGATTATGCCTGATCACCTGATCTATTCTTTTCACAGCATGGATCAACATCTAAGCCAGTCTGCAGTCACTCGACTACATCTGTGCGGAACCGCCACGAAATCTCAGCAGATCGGGAACAAAAAAGACTTTCTCGAAAAGAAAAAAACATCGAAAAACACATCGCATCCCCGTCGCACCCCGCATCCTTCCCACGACTCCCCACGCTGGCATCCCGCTTTTCTCCGCACGAAAACCCCTGTGCGTTCAGTTCAGACTGCTGCACAAAATTTGACAAAGCGCACTGGAAGAAGAGTGCAGTGATGTGCGGCAAATGGAGCGGAAGTGGCGACGCAACGGGAGTTCAGAACCTTCCTTGAAGCTGAGTGACCTTTATGTTGGACCACCAACCACCCAACATACGGCCCTAAATCCTAGTAAAATGTCTCGGCTCTACATGGGTTGCGTCCCACATCCATCCACCCCCTCCCTCTGCGGATGGGTCCACTCTCCATCCTGCGGTTGGGCTCACCTCGCCGCCTGCGACGAGAAACGCTGCGACGACTCCGTCGGTCGGTGCTCCCGACGGAGTCGTCACCGACTGAGCAGCACGCGAACGCGCACGCGCAACGTTTGTGGTTCCTTCTGTCACAAAGTGGACATTTTGGCAGAAGATACTGACAGACGTTGATCTCTGACCGGCTGCTGTATGCTGCGGCATACCGTACACAGCAGACGGTAAGATTAAAGCGCGTACACCCTACTGACAGACGTTTCAAGCAGATTTGGTGTTTCATCGGATTGATCGGGCGGACGAAGAAGACAAACTGCGGCAGCCTCTTCCTTGAAGGCCCAGCGGAGCCTAAACTTGAGAGCTGTGGGCCATGGAGCAGGAGTTTTCTCTTGCTCTTGCGACGATGCGGCGCACCCCCAAAAGTATGATGTCGCCTTCACTGATTGGGATTTCACACTGTGTCTTTGAATGAGGAAGGGGCAAAAACTGATCACTGATGACCATTCCTTTTGTAAAAAGAACCTGGTTCTCACCACGACCGACCTGTCGCGTGTCCAACGGTTCACCGGTGGAATCCTCCCCGTTTTGTCCCACGCGCTGTCCAGCCGGCCTGGCCGAAGGGACCTGGGAGAGCCCACGGAACGAGGCAAAAGGAGAATGTGGACATGAATGGACTCACCAAAGGGATCGTCAAATGGTCGACCGCCGCCAAGCCAGTGACCCGCGGAGGACGTCGGGGCGGTTCTTTTGTGAGGACATCGCAAGGGGCCCACCCCTGTCACCTCCCCCACTCCATGGGCCTCGAGTCTCCACGAAAAACTCCCAACACCGATTGGACAGACGATCCTTGGAGTCCAAGACCAAGCATAAGCAAACACAGGAAAAGGCAAAGTATGGAAAAGTTGGTTCTACGGTGAACAAGAAAACCGTTCCTTTGCAAATCACCTCATATACCTGGCATGATACGCAAATCACCTCTCCAGGAGAAACGTGAAAAAGCGCTCCTCGCGTCGCGTCTCTCTGCGTTGGCCATTGCTCGGTGAGGAGCCGGCCGACCATTGAGTCGCTCAGGTCGCTCACGTGCAAGGCCGACCACCCAACTTTGGGGTGTCCGTAGACACGTGACGTCGCCCGATGCTTCGCATCGAGGTTCCCAAAGAAAGAGGGTGGAACTGGAGCTTGCCAGGTCCATGCCCCCCTGCCCTGTATTTCCGGGAGGTCCCTTTGACTTTGAAAGAGGAACCCTATCGTGGCAAACGATCGTGTCTGGTATAGACCTGAATGGAGGTCTACACCCACAACCACAAGGCCACAAGGAGCTCGGGGCTATGGTCGAAGACCACTCTCTTCCTCTAAAGGAGAGCGCTGTTCGGCTGAGCCTTGGACCTCGCAAAGTCTACCCTTTAGTCCAGTGCCACTACTTCACTCCCAGTGATGCGTCATCCAATTGTTCGGTGCCTTCAGAGCAGCTCCAAGCCAGGCACATCATCGACCGAGCGCACCTGCTGAAACCTCTTCCGCCGCTCCTCATGCATAGTGGGTCACGGTCAAAGATTCGTGAAAGAGAACAAAGATTGAATGAATTGAGGCCTCTGGAACGACCCATTGTACTTAACACAAATCTCAGCTTGGCAACAATGTCTGCACGGAGAACTGACTTTATGTTAACCATGCCTGCCTTCGCCTGGGGCGGTGCTGGATTTGGTGTTGGTTTTGATGCTCCATTGGTCAAACACGTCAAACGATTACCTTTCAAAATCTCGCTGATTGGACGCAAACGGCCTCAGTCCCCCTGCAAGCCCCAATTTTGAAGGATCTTTCCAAGGGCAAGAAATTGGAGCCCAGCACCAAACCCTCCTAAGTATACAAAGAGGGGTATGGCACCTGGCACATGTTGACAGCTTCGAACATCCCCCGTGTGCCAGTCACCAACTGCAAGAGCAAGTTGAGATTGTATACGCTCCCTGAAACAAACATGGAAGTGGACAATCCTGTTTGCAGAGGAAAATCCTATTCCAGGAGGGAATCCAGTTGCATGATTGTTGGATATGGTTGGAGGGTAGAAGGAACAAATAATACAAGGAACAAAAATCGCTGTGGGTCAAAACCTGGAGCCCGTGAACCCTGGAGGATTCACGGTAGTCTACCAGTAGTCCATGCCCTGCCGGCTCTTGGAAAGTGGTCGCTCCTGCGCGCTGCTGTTGTCGTTCTCAAGCTCTTCCAGACCCCAGGTGACGACGTCGCCGGCGGCCGTCACGGCCGCAAAGCGATTGTAGGAGCCACAGATCTGCAAGACCTGGCGAGCGAGATGGCCCCAGGCCATCCAGCCGCTGGCTTCTTTTTCTGAAGTGAACATCGGGTGCTGACATGATGCAGCCACAATTCAGAGGTGAAAAGGCAGGGTGAAACGCAAGGAACCGACCGTGGCCGTGGGGTTGGAGGTCTTTCTGGCACTCACACATGCATGGCGACACGAAACTGGCTCTCAAAGGCTCCTGGAGCCATATCATAGGATGAAGAACTATACGCGGACTGCTGCGGTCGTGCGTCTCACAGCTAGGCAGTGAGGATGAAGAACTATAAACATTTGCACCCCTCCCTCCAATCGAAGTGCACGGAGCCCGTTTTGATGGTAGAGGGAAAGTCCTCCTTTCGAGGCCCTCTTCGACTTTTTGGGGTGATGGGAGGGGGTGAACCTGTTTTCACTGCGTGACACCCTAAGTCCGCGGTCACGTGGGGTCCTTTATTATCCCAAAACTCCAACCTCCGTTGCATTGATGAATCACCATGGATGGAGCTTACAATGACCGGGAATATACAGTGGTTTCAGAGGTTGGCACAGACCTCGTGTCCTTGGGGTTCATGTAAACCACCTCTTGGGCTCCGTGCCATCTACTCTCAATCCAGACAAATCCGTGGTCATCCACGCAATCCCTGGCGCACTCCATGTAATGTCTGGAATACTCACCAAATCCCGGGTCTTGACCCTGAAATCCACCGAAAAACCCACTGATACATCTGATACATCTGATACATCTACCGTCTCATGGACGGTTTCCAGTTCCCGATCGACTCGCCCCGGGCGTTTAACCCCGACCCTGCTCGCCTCGTGGAGGCGCTCCGAGACCTGCGGCGACCCGGACCCCCGGAGAGCGAACGGCATCGGAACGGCCCTGCGCTGGCTGTGTTCCAACACCGCTTGATGGTTGTTTCGAGTGAGGGAAGGGCCCAAAGAGATGGCGACATCTTCCAGATGTTCCAGCCCTTCCAAATGTTTCGGCCCTTCTGCGGGGGCACGTGCGGGAGCAGAACATATTGAGAGCTCCTGCAGTTCTTGACTTCCCTGTGTCACAACACCACGAGGTCCCGCTACAGGGGGTGTAGGATATACATCTGTCCGATCGAGAAGAGCTCTCAACCTCTCAAACTTGGCGGTGGGTACCTGGACCTTCAAGGGGTGTTCAATGGAGATACCATTGGTGACCCCTTTGAAGGCGACACATCGGAAGTTCACATCAGTCACATGAAGGTCGGTCACGGACAAACCACGGACATGAAGGTGGCTCAATCTTTGGATTCAACGCAGGCCACAACCAAGAGCTACAAAGATTTAGTTGATTCCGGGATGATCAATCAGGTTGGATGAACGGATCACTCTGCTGGCTATCCAAGAATCAAAAAAAACATTGATCAACCTTCACACAGGAACGAGATCAAGCAAACCGTGGTTCCACTGGCCCTGGCAAACCCACCATGTTCGCAGGTTGCCCCCAAAATCACTGGGAAGACCCAAAACCTCGAGCTGAAACGGGATCGAAGTGCCGAGTTGCTCCACCAAAACAAGCAAACCAAGAGTTACAGATAGGGGCGATGAACTTGGAGGAAGGAGGTTATATAGGTACCCCTGTCACATCCACAGCCCCTGGATGGGACAAGCCACACCACCCCTGAATATGTGTTGTTCTCTCTCTTTCTCTTCCTTTGAGGCTCTCCCAAGGAGGCTGCCTCCGATCAGGATCCACGGCCTTCGAACCGCTGAACTCTCCGGTGTCTCACGCCGTGACAGGCAGCACGTCCCGCACCCGAGGCCTGCCCCGACCAAAAACGGAGGCCCCTCGACAGCGCCCATTCCAGTGATCCACCGGACCGAACAAACCACTTCGCCCCCTCGACAGTCGCCCTCGACCTGACTGCAGTCGCCCCCTCGATCTTCGTGGCCCCATGTCACCACCTGCAATCGCCCGAGTCAAGCGGAACAGGTCGGTCTGCGTCATTGGCGAATCATGTTTAAAGGTCCTTAGGTGCAAAAAGACCAGTGGAATCGGAGAAAAGGGCTCTCTTTCCACTGCGCTGCAGTTCCATCCGCTCTGATGGCAGAGAAGGCATGGCAAGAGCCAAAGATGTTCTGCACGTCGCAAAGTGCGACGCTGCTGCTGTCTCCACCGAGCATTGGATGACCCCAAGTCACAACTTTTCCATCAGCCAGCAAGGCAGCAAAGGCACTTCCTGCAAATGACGTCCAACATAGGCTGCATCCCAAATACAGAAACCAAAGCTTTGGGTGGAAAAGGGTCATCCAGAAAAACGCCGTATCTCTTCTCTATCACATCAATTGTTCCATCAAGTTCATCAAGTGTTCAAAGCCCCTCTAATTCTAAGCTGCACAGCCTTGTGAAAGACTTCAACCAACCAAAACACCACCTTCCCCACCTGCACCCACAATCTGCTGCACATTTTGGAGCCGATCTTGCACGTGTCCACTGTCACCTCCACACGTGGGATGCCCCCACGTGACCACGGACACCCTGCCGCCCTCCTCTACCAGCGCCGCGAAGGCGGAGCCCGAGGAGCGGACCGAGCGAACGCGGCGCAAGCGAGCTTGAACTGCACCTCACCGGAGGTTCTCTGACATGTGAGGTGCGGTTCCCTCATGGAAGAGAAGGGCTTGGGCTTGGGCTTGGGTGTGGGCCCATATGGTGGATGGGCTTGGGAAACGGGTTTCCCTCATGTTTCGCTGCACGGGTTTCCCATATCAAAAACATGAACTAGAGATCTTGGAAGCGTCCAAACCCCTTTTTGGAGCAGAAAGGTGGTGTGAAGTAGCCCAAAACAGCCATCAGTACCCAAGATGCTTAGAGTCTATAAGAATACCAATAGACAAAAGAACCCTAGGATTCCAACCGCCCTTGAAATGAAATAATAGCCCTAAATAATGTGTTAATATGTTGTACTAAGGTTTTTGCACAATCCAACAAGGTCAATCTCTGCTTTTTGGGTCTTGGTTCAAAAAGAAATCACCAGCAAAATCCAAGTTTGTCCAAAGGATGTTTTTGTATAATAGTACAATAGTACAAACCCAACTTGCAGATGGCGGGGCATCAAACATGGTTTCCCATTGAATCCCTTGGTGTCTGTTTTGAGGTCCAAGTCGCGGCTGTCACCACCATGCTTGGCCGGACCCCAAGAGATCGCAGCTCCATCGGCCAAAATGGCAGTGAAGGCGCCGTGCGAGGACTGCAGCTGCTGGACATTCTGAAGTCGATCTTGGACTGCGCTGCCTCAGCTGACATGGAACCACGCTCTCATCAGCAATCCGTTGCACAAAACGTCCATCATACAAATTGTAGCTTCTTGTTACTAGTAGTAGGGCACTTGTTACTAGTAGCGATGCACTTGTTACTTGTAGCTTCTTGTTACTAGTAGTTTGTTGGAACTTCGATGGACTCATAGCTCCTCTGGCACCGGTCCGATGCTCAGAAATTCACGAAGCCATTCACTTCATGCAGTCTGGGAGGCTGTTTTTCGCTGGCAGCAACAAGTCACGGCATTGGTAGGAACCCTGTGGTGTTTGTTTGTCGTGTGAATCCAAAAACTGGCTTTTTCAGGCTTTTGGGAACCCGTGTGAACAGCCACATGTTATTTATGCTGTAAAGATGGCGCGCATTGAGGCACAAGCGCGATGTCCTTGCAAAATGACATTTCACAATGGTGCCCGGCCATCCTTCCCGCAACGCCATCGATTTTCAGCGGGTCGCTTTGCGACACAGTCTGCCGACAGCCCAAAGATCGCCGTCGCACGTTCAGTTCGTGGTTTCGCTTCGTCGTCAAAGTTTGAGGAGGCATATTCCACACTGTCTCGTTTTTTGGGGGAGTATCTGGCCCCCTCATACCTCATCTTCCAACCAACGAAGAAAGTACCCAAAGCGTGTGGACCCCAGGAAGACTGGCCGGAGGCATAGGAGGATCCACTTTGAAGACAGCAGCCAGGTAGAAAGATTTCACAGAATCAGAAAGACTGCTCAGCTTCACGCATCTCTGTCTCCGAGGAGGATTCCATGTCTTTCGCAAATTTCAACAGTCTCTTAGACAGAAGTCACACTGCACTAGCCATTTCTGGGGGAAATAGTAGAAGTTGCCACATGTTCGTCCAAAGCACACACAACCCACAACGAGACAACATCTCGGAAAAAGCGGTGAACATCAGGAGTCGAGGTCAAAACGATGAGGGTCCAACAGTCCCAGTCCCACCGTGTTGGACCCCGTCATGTCCTGCTCATCGTGCCGAAGTTCGAAACCCAGTCTGGTCCAGTCGTACAACACATCGACGCAAGAAAAAAGGTTTCAAGGGATCCGGAAACGAAGGCAGCCATGTTCTGTTTCAGACAGTCTTGACAACACTAAACACAGAGAAACCAAACTGTTTAGACACAACTCCCTGATGGAGCTGGGGTGCGATCAGCCTTGCCTCAAGGGATAAAAAAGAGTATATACAGTGCTCGCGGTGAGGTCAACACCAGTCAGTACTGGTTGAAAACGTCAAAACGCCCCCCCGACGTTTCACTCGAACCAATGATCATGGAGGTGTCAAAACGCAAAAAGGATAAAGCCCGATGAGTTATGTTCAGCGATGGCAGCCATACATGACCAACCATCAAATATGTTCTTTTGTGAAAAAAGAGCGGGAAAAAAAAGCAAAACAAAAGCAAATGAAAATGCAAAAGCAGCGCAATTTGCTTTGTTTTTGCATTTGTGTTGTCTTTTTTTTGCGTTTTTCCTGGTACCACTCCTGCACGTATGAGAACGTTTAACCGTCAGCAATATTCGCTGTACGTTCCTAGTTAAAAAGCGGAAAAAAAAAAGAAAGCAACAAACACCCACAGCTACATGTTGTTGCTTCTTTGTTTGCTTTACTTTCGCTTTGTTTTGCTTTTGTTTGCCGAACATAACCGATGAGGTTCCGAATGTCGCCGTGAGCAAAAACAACGTCCAGAGTCCAAAGAGTTGCAAGGCCACTCCGAGCGACTGTCGCTCCCAAACCATGCCTCACCCCAGGTCACCACGCCCCCGTCGCAGCGTAAGGCTGCGAAGGCACCGTCAGAGGCCTCAATCTCCTCTCGGTGGGTGGTTGAATCACCCACCTGGAAGATGAATCGCCCACCGGATTCTTTTCACTGGTTGAAACATGGATGCATCCAGACCAGAAGAAAAACTGGTTCCAACCTCCCAGTCCTTGATGTCGTTCAGCTGATCTTGCACTGCACTCATGTCACCCCCAAGCATCGGATGTCCCCAGGTGACGACCCCTCCATCCTGTCGCACCGCAGCGAAGGCACAGCCTGTGCCCTTGACCTGGCAGACGTTCTTCAGCTGCTCCTTCACTTGGCTGCAGTCACCACCATAGCCGGGATCCCCCCAGGCCACGACGCTGCCGTCCGACAACAGGGCAGCGAAGGCGTGCTTCGAGGCCTCAATGTGCTGCACGCCTTTCATTCGCAGCTCCTCTTGCACGGCGGAGCTGTCGCCGCCGTAGCCAGGATGACCCCAAGTCACACATCCCCCACCGCAACACCAGAGAGCGAAGGCTTGAAAGCTTGCCGCCAGCTGCGGCGTCTGCACGATGGCATAGACCACCTGCCCATGCTCCAACCCCACCTTCGACAGATGACACTCGAAATCCTCTCGAACACGGCCATGGATGACCAACCGTAGGAAGCCTTTCTGCAGGGCCTGCCCAAAGAGTGGCAAGGTGCAAAAAGTGAACCTATCAGGGAATTCCCCGGGATTCCCCTTCATAGAATACAACCACTATCAGGCATTGCAAGTATGAAACAATCGACCTGTGTGCAACAGCAACAACAACAACAACAACACTTCTAGCGATCTCAACAACTGAGGAGGGGATAAGAAGGAGAATAACACATCCTTCTTCAACCTCCTTTCTCTTCTTCTTCTCCTCCTCCTCCTTCTTCTTCAGGGCAGAACGAACATCAAACACCTACCAAAAAAACATCAGAAACATTAAGAAACACCCTGCTGTCCGCTCTCCTGGCTCTCCTGCTACCCCACCTTCTGTGCGGCCACCTTCAGGTCACCCAAGGTCGCATCTGGACCCATGGACACCAAGCAGGAGCGCCCGCTGGGCAGCGCCACATGGAGATCCATCGACGCGGCGGGTTCCCCGCGGGTTCCCCGCGCGAGGAGGAGATCGCTGGCGATCGCTGTGAGGCCTGGATGGCTCGCTGATCTCCACTCCGAACGACACAATGTCCTGCATGGGGACCACGGTCAACGCAACAAGAGAACTCGAAAGCCCAGGCTCACAAGGGAGTGAAGCCAAAACAGGACATCACAGCGACTTTAGCACTTGGGAGCAGGAATATGTGCGAATCTGTGGTGGCACAAGGTACAGGAGGTTGTTGATCACTTGATAGGTATGAGCAGGACCAAGCTAGGAGGGATCGCCAATGACCAGTGGCATCTGTTGGTAACAGGAAAAAGCACTGAAAAAGAACAAACTCGCCTGGTTTTGAGAAAAACCGTTGGGGGTGCTCGCTTCACATACTCCCAGGGCTGCAGCCGACCTCGCCGTCGCGCGGTCATACCGTATACCCCTGTAGCCGCTATGCCAGGCAGAAGGATGAAAAAGGGGCAAGTCCCGGATCCAAAACCACCACCGAATGGGATTCCTCTGTGAAGGTGCACAAGCGCGTCTGTTTCAAGCGGATTCTGCGTTACCAAGGATGGGTATCTCCAGGGCCGCGAGGCCGAATGAGGCACTTCGTGCGCCATCTGGCCATCGTGGTTGAGTGTCTGAGGAAAACACACCGAACCGAGCTTTCTCATATGTCTCATGGCACTCTCAAGAAACTACTTCAAGAAACTCTGAATCAAAATCTCCCTCGCCAGCATTGACTGGACAACCAAGAGACTCTTCAGTACCTAAGCAAGGATCGAAGATGCAGAGGCGAAATGATGGCAAGGTCCATCCACTTCCATAGGAAGGGCAAACCGAGAACAATGACGCTTCTCCATTCATCTGTTCTTTCGCCGACCATTGCAATCATTTGCTCCAGATGACTGAACGATGCCCTCTTGGCCCTTTCTCTACACATGCCCTCTTTGGCCACCTGATGTTCTCCAAAGAGCAATGTAGACCATCCCAAAAATGAAGAACACATCCTCTGCCAGAGTTATGGACTTTCCCGCTCTAATGGGCTCGGTGTGCAAATCCCCAGACCCCGGAGGTGGTCGGAGCAATCCGACCAGCTAGAGCTAGGCGACGAGCTAAGCGACTGCAGACTCCAAGATCCAAGCAGGAGTCCGACCAAAAAGTTGCTCTGGCCCCATGGGTGTCATGCGAAGCATGAGTTCAAACAAGGGGCAGAGCGACTCTGCGATGCCGGCGATCAATGTCCACAGGAGGTTGGTAGGCGAGTAACTCGCACTCAATCGGACTTCAAAATGAAAGGAGTGAAGGGGATTGGCGTGAAAGCATGTGCGTGATCTTCCAAAATGAAGCGAATAAGGGATCCCTGGTCCAGTCGCATATTCCTCGCATGTCCAGATCTCCTAGTTTTGAAAGGGTCCTGGCATGGTCCGACGATCCCAACATCTTCGGGATTGGAAAATGATGGAAAATGCTTGACATAGCGGAGGCAGAAAGGCTGCAGTCCAAGAAGTGTTGTGAGGACGAGGAGATTTCAACATAGGACCTTGGAAAATAGAAGGCTCAAAACAAAGACAAATGAAAAATACCAAAGATACCGAAATGTAAAAAGTAAAAACTGCACCAACCCCCAAAGATCAAAACCAATTGATGTTATTTACGTTGGATAGTGAGAATTTTATCGCCATGGCATCCCAGCGGTATGCTCCAACAGCCCGGTCACAGTGCCGGGGATAGGAACACAACCTTCACCATCACCACTGTCACCACTCTAAACGAGGACAGCGATTGGTGAGCAAAACGCTTTTTTCAGAAAAGCATTCCTGGGACCTTGTCTTTCAACCGCAACTTGGAACCATAAGGATTCAACGATCAAGGACAATTCCCAGGTTTGGAAAATTTAGCAGGTGGCAGTCCCTGGACCAGGGGTATCGGCTTTGGCAACAGCCTTTGGAAATCCAAGAGTTGTTCATTCTTTGGCCCCTCTTAAGACGGTCTTTGTCAGGATTGACCCATCTCATGTTTTGGCATAACAAATGGAAGATTCTCGGGTCGATGGATGGAAGCGGAAACCCATCAGGTGTCAAATGTTAGCAAAACCCACTCAGATCGCTTTGCTCCAAACACCTTCATCTGAGAAATAAAGAAACTCGTCAGTATAGGCCGCGCCCACCCGCAGGTCCAGCCGCCGAAAACTTCACCAAAAAAGTCATCTATTGGCAATCAGCAGCGGAAAAGCACAGTTCTATAGCTACTAGTAGTAATGCCCTTGTTCCTAGTAGCTTCTTGTTACTAGTAGTAATGCCAGGAGCTACTAGTAGCGTCCTTGCTCCTAGTAGCGATGCCCTTGTTACTAGTAGTCATTTGTGGAAACAGGTTGTGGCGTGGCCTAGGGCCACAAGTGAACGGGAAAACCGCCCAGAAGTGTCCCAAGAAAGCCTTCAACTTCTGGCCATATTTTGGGAGGTTGGGCAAGTCCCGCAAGAGCGATCTTTTGTACCTGCCCTCCTCGGAGGGAATCCTCTGCTTGATGACCAGGTTGAATTACGGCACTGGACGTCTTAGGATTGGAAAGACACAATGACTCCTTTCAACTGCAAGATGTCTGGGTGGTCGGTGTTCTTGCAGCAGCACAGGTAATTCACGCATTATGGTGAGTCGTTGTATGGTTTTTTGGATGTTCGATGTTCACGTGAACACTGAAGCCAGAAAAGAATTGCAATACAGAAACACCTCTATGAGACGTCTCACACGGACGTGAATGAGACAACACCATCGCCGACATCAGGGACAAACATCTCCTGGCAAACCCAGTGAGCCCCGGAGGGCCATCGGAGGGATGTAGGAACAAATCCAAACGAGTAAACGCCCCCAACCCTGAGTCATGACTTGGGATCGTTCAACTAAGCCTGTTCTACCATGCTCTACGAATCTCTACGATGGGCCTGGCCGTCAGAGCTGATTGCCTGGAAAAATGGGTTGCGTTCCCACGCCGTTTTCCCACGCGCCAAAGCTCGCTTCCAAAACCGCAAGGTCTGGCGGTCTGAATACATTTAAGATCATTTAAGTACAGTAGGTCTACAAAGGGAAAGTTGGTGTCCCATTTAACAGCACCAGGACACAACAGGTCTGAGGATGCAGGTGTCTAGTTCCGGATAATATGCAGGTGTTCCAGCTCCTACCTTCCCTCCATTTACTGGAACCAGCTGAAATGATTAAAGCAACAACAACAATACTATCTCTGCTATCCACTTGCCACAGTATATAACCGCGGGTGTCGGTGGTTTCCACAAGCAGCTGAGGCAAAAGGAGGTTTCTTTGACATCGGAACTTTGGCAACCACAAGCAATATCCTCTCGGGCTTGGCTTCAATGCAAACAAAGGTGCCAAATCAAACAATGCCTCAAAGATGCCCCCACTGATCTTTCGATGAATGCGTTCTGCCAATCCCAACCAGTCCACTCAGAACATCCAATCATACAAAGTATCTTTCAAGGCTGCAGCAAAGTCTATGCAAGCTGGCAGCTTAGCACATTCGCACCTAGGGCTGGCGTCCAGCCCAACAACGGAAAAAACAATGGACTGTCCTTCGTTTTCGACTCCTTCGGGCCTTGGCGCGCAGGTGGGGGGGGGGTCTCACTTGCTTAGATCTCCACCTCCTTCTCCCCGGTCTTCTTGACTTCGTTGCTTTCCTGCCATAGCGCAGACCCACTGGCAGAAAGGAAGTCGTGGGAACGAAAAGGTCACTGAACGGGCTTGATGCTACACGCTTCGAGCATCAAGCGACAAGAAAGCTTTTTGGAAGAAGCTTTTTGGTGCACCCGGGTCTTTTGAGGGAACAAAATGCAACCAAATACAAACAAAAAACTCATACCAGGACCCTCCAAGGGGTGTCCAATGAACTACCCCACACTACCTATAGGCTTCCATTGGTGTTTTTTGGGGAGGGTCCAGGTATGATCTCATATGATTGTTCTTTTAAGTGGTTTTGAATCCCAGTCTACTGTGTAGCTCCTTAATTGGGGCGACCATGATGACCCAACCTTCAGCGCTCTGTGGATCTTCGGAGCTTCCCTTCACCAAATCACCGATCCTGAGGACCCAGGGTTTTCGAACGCCACCGTGTTCTCAGGACCGATGCGGATTGGCGTTCGACGCCCATCGCCTTCAGATCGCCGACGCGTCGCCTTCGTCCGTCGACCGTCGAGTACCACGAGTTCGTCCGTTCGGGTCGAATCATCACGAGTTCGGGTCGCACCGAGAAAAAGGAGACGAAGAGATGCCAAGGTTGGACCTCCTTGTCAGATCGATCCAACGCCGGTTCCAAACGACTCGTGTTTTGGGCTTCCCCCCGCCCAGGTGGTCTTTCATCGAATCGTCTCACCCGCCTGGGGGGGCTCAGGGAGGTTCTCCAAGTCCGGCTGTGGTCCCATCTCCTGGGCGCAGTGACCCGGAGACGTGGATGCCCGGCAGTGGCGTCCCGGGCGACACCGCGACCCGGACTGGAACCCTTTCCACCCGCGACCCGGCCGGGCCTCTTCCTCGTCCTCATCTGGGTAGGAGTCCAAATACTTAAGCTCCTCCGGGGTGAACATCCACCGCAAGGCCTCAGTGGCGCTCCGCGGAGGTGCAGGGTTCGCAGCGGAGCGCGAAGGTTTTCCCGGCGCACCTTGCGAATGATCGCCAGCGAAGCCATGAAGAAGGGGAAGACCACGGAGGTCTCCTCCAACCCGCGGAGGAAGTCTGGGTGGGTGGTCGCGAGGCGAAAAAACAAGAGCCTGGGGGCTGCATTCGACGAACCCCCAGCTGTTGAACTCATGCTGCATTCTGTTGAACTAACCGCCAGTAAAGGCCTTACTCTAAAATAGTGATCATTGTTTACGGACTGTTACAGGTAATAGGACACCCCCAAGATGTATCACTTGTCATCTCTCCCTCCCAGGTGTTTCTGGCTCCCATCTCCCAGCCCATCAAACCACGGCTCCTTGATCTCCTTCAAGCCATAAAGGATGGCAAGGCAAATGAGCTGCACCAGGGTGTAAAGGTGCACCTCACAGCTGTGAACAGACGGAGAAGGTCGACTCTCAGCGATACTGTGAGGATGGTCAATGGTCTGTTCCTCCAAAAACCTCGAAAAAGTGGGGAGGAAATGGATGGAACATGATGAATTCAAGGATCCCATGGCAGGATCCATGAACTTTAGCTGACAGGATCCCATCTCACTTTAGGAGGTCTGATGGTTTCCGATTATCAAAAACAATCAGGGTGAGTCAATCCCACATGGGCTTCGGGAGGGTTAATCCGACCCACCCTGCAACTGCTTGGAGTGGGCAACCGCAAAACCGGCACGAAATCACCGGAGAAGCTTGAGCGGATGTGAACTGACCAGTGGTTGCGCAACTGGCTATAACTTCGGCTCCCTTTCTCCACCTCGAGCCGGACCGCCGGGCCCCCAGAACACCCAACCCCCGCCCCCAAGTCTCTCCGCTCCACGCGGCGCGCTTGATGGGCAGCTTCTGGACGTAAATGTAGGAAGGCCGGTTCCTTCGTGGGGTTCGGGTTCTGGGCACCGTCCCCATTCCCTGTGCCCGGTCTGCCGGACCCCCGGCTTAGCTCGGTCCGGTCGAAGTCTCTTTAGCCTGAAGATCCTTTCTCCCGCTGTTTGGGCCACGAAGTGGAATCGTTTCATGGTCCCCTACGGGTGGGCTTGGTCTTGGGCTGGAAGCACGCTTGAACGAAGGAAGAAAACTTTGAGCTGAAGCTTGAAAGTCGAACGTTTGTCGGATTATGTTGAATATGCTTCCAAAAGGATACAAACGATCCGTTATGGATTCTCATGTGTCGGTGTTCCGATGCGCACACGGTCTTCAAGTCCCACTTGCCTGCGTTCCAATTTGAACAACAAGAAGAAGCGATCGAAGAGGTTGTTGCCTCTGCGGGGACCGGCGGCCACAAGGTAGCTCGCTCGAGGCTCGAGGCCCTGCCCAGTTGTGCCCTAGGCACTTCCAAAGACTAAACACCTGGCAACCTAGAGCTACCCAGACCAAACAGCGAGGGGAATGCCAGGGGCTCCAAGTGGTTTCCTGTGATTGAGGTCACACATGAGTATGACAAGCCAGATCAAGCATGCAGTTTGTAGATGCAAAATCATATTCCAAAGACACCATCAGTCTCTTGCTGTGTGCTTCAGGAGAAGTCTTGCCGTATTGTGGGTCCAAAGATCCAGTCGAAAGTGTTCCCATTTTAAGTTCTAGTACACACTTGCTACTACTGCTACTAGTAAGAATAGCGATGCCAGGAGCCCCTAGTAGCGTCCTTGCTCCTAGTAGTAAGGCCAGGAGCCCCTAGAAGCTTCTTCTTAGTACTTAAGGACAATATTATATATAATAAGTACAGTAGCACGGGTCCCGGGTGATCGTGAAGATTCTTGGCGCTTAGAGTCTTAGAGGTGTCAGGGTGTGCTTCGCAAGAGTGCTCACCCAGGAGAAAGGCCTCAGGAACAAAGACTCTTGGATCTACTTCGCGCCAGTCATTGAATCATACGATTGGGTGTCAGGATGAAAGAGTGAAGAGAGAGAGAGAGGGGGGGAGAGAGATTTTTTGGTTGCTCAAGTTAGGTGGCTGTGAGTTGGGGTCTACTCCTCTTACCAAGAGGGCCACCCCACAATGATGAAAACATGTAAACCCTACAATCAAAATAGTTATCCAGTCAATTACAAGCAATTCGAAGTCGTTCTTCTCTTAAAGCCCCACCCCCTAATAAAAATGAAACATGGCCATGCCAATCCACCTTCAATCCACAAAGGCCAAACCCGTCAACCAGCCCTTCCCAACCCAGGGCCTCGCCTGTCAAGGAGGCGATACCCATGTAAAAGAAGACGCCTTGCAGCACCGCGCGGGGCAGAAACTTCAGCACCGGAGCCAAGAACAAGGCGCAGCCGATGAGGACCTTCAGGCTTCGTCGATGCCGCGGTCGGCTCGGTGGAGGTCGGCAGCTCTGGTGGTGCGGCTCTGGTGTCCAGTTCAAGGTGACCAAGACACGGGTCTTGGTGACGACAACGGGTATACCGTATACGGTTTGGTGACACAAGCCATGCTGTGATATGAAAAGGGCTCGATCTGGGGATTGCATGGCGTATTACAACCCAATGATCCATTTGCCACTGAGTTTCCTTTTGATCAGTGCTTCAGAAGCATCGAGAATCTAAGCACGTGGATCTAGAACTGGAAGGCCTCCCGTAGTTTCCTTGTTGTACAAGTGGGATTCACCAAGCTTGGCTCATGGTTGACGGAGCTTCTCAGACCCCTCTCGTCTTCCACTCATGACGGCCACCTATGGTCCGCAGCCGTGTTGGGCGCTTCAGAGCTCTTCATTCGGCATATCTCCGTTGAACAGTGGACAAAACCCCTCAGGGCAACAAACAAACGCCGCAAACTGGAATGAACATCGCTGAAACCAAACACACCGCGACAGTGTCCCCTCCGACAGTGTCTAACCAAACACACCGCGAAGCCTGCACCAGAACCTCCACGGTCCACCAGAATCCATCAAAGCTATGCGTCCGTTCATGAACCAAACGGGCTCCCTCAGTTTCCCAGGAAAATACAGGTTAACCATGGTTATATAATTATATAACCTTTTCCCACCTGTTCATTTCTGAATGGGAAAACACGTCCCAGAAAAACACGGTGATGACGCAGGTGTTTTCTTACCTCGCCGCTGAGAGAAATAGCAAGGCTTTTGAATCAGCCGAGGCTCATGAATCAGGAAGTTCGTGGCTCTCTGTTCCACCACTTTCACTGGCACCTTGCGCTCACCCTGCGGCAGCTGCTGCACCTGCAAGCTGCGGCAGCTGAGCAGGTCGGGGGTTGACCAACACGGACCCGTCACAGTCGCGGTCGGAGAGTGCACAGGTACGGTACAACCTACAGTAATATGTAGTGCAGGTATGGTCACCGGATGTGAGAAGCCCAACAGGCTAGGTATTGCCCGAAGCCATGGCTACTTCCTCTTCTATTTGGCTTTGGGTACGTCATTGTCGCCCAAAAGCTCCCCGTGACCAAGGAAATGGGAACCTTAGACCGGTATTCCTGTTCTCTTGAGCACCTTTTGTCAGCTCGGAACCTATCCCAGTTGAATGAGAATCATCGATCCAAACACATCCCCTGCGACGAAGAACCATGAAGGGATGCCAATCATCCTAAAACCACAAACCAATCAGGATTCAGGCTGCATATCCTGGATCCTTCTCTTTTTGCGCTGAAGCACCTATCCCCAACCAAAGCGATCCTTTCCTAGCCAAAACCTATCACTTTGTTGGATGAAAAGACCTGTCCACGGGATGGGTCAAATGTCGAGAGGTCACAGGTGACGCCAAAAGGATGAAAAAGGAAAAGAGGCTCAACGGAACTTCAGGGCACAGTTCGGGTGTTTGGGGCCACAGCCAGACCCGGACAAAGCCCCGGACCAAGCCCGCCGGACGAACGACGCGGTGTTCGGAGGACGTACAGCTACCCCCCGGACGACCGAGTCGTGCTACCCCGGCACCTCATAGGTGGTCAAAGAGATCACCTTGGTGTGAGGTCTGTTTGGTTGCGGAGCTGCGGAGGTCACGTGGGACAGAGGTCAGCGGCTCGTCGGGATCCGACGGACTCGGGATGTGGATGTGGGATCCGACGGTCCAATCCAGGCTGAGCCTGCACCAATGACTTGGAGCTCAATCTGAAATAGCTCATCCAGGGTCTTTGGATGTTTTAGGGTGTGAACTCCTCGGTGAACTAATCCAGGGGTCATGCCATCCACCTCCGTTCGGAGGATAATCCCCCGACACATCCCAGGCGCATGACCTCACATTTCAAGCGGTACATCGAATCTAAATGGTAGGGTCCATATACACAGCATGGACCATTGCCAAAGATCACCTCAGAATACCCTCCATGGAATCTCAATGGACCGCAATGTGGATCCACTGCCAAACACTCCCACCTAGGAGTCCTACCCCAAAAGAACTCCTTCCGAGTTCCTTCTCCCCTCCTCCGCATGGATCTCTCTATCGGCTCGGCACGTGGGTGATGGAGGGCACGGTGGAGGCCACAGAGAGCGGCAGCCCCAGAAAGGCGCAGGCGGGCAACGTCACAGCGCCGCGGACGAATAGGTCCAGATGGTAGCCGGGGCCCTTCCTTGCGAGGTGAACCAGGGAAGTTGTGACTCAAACATTACCCCACCGCCTGGCAGTAATATATAATCCACCACCACTCACCACCCTGACCCTAGGGGTAAAATATGATAAAACGATGAGAACACAGCGGCCACCGCTGCCATGCAGAAGGATCTCAGAACCTCCACGTTCAATCTACAGTGTTTTCAGAGAAGATGGCACAAACCAGAAGATGTCCTTTAGATGGAGGTCCATATACACCACCTTTTGGGCATTGTGACCATCTACTCTGAAACCACTGTACTTGAGTCAAAAACCATCCGTAACACAACACTCTCTGAATCTTGGTCACAGTCAACGTGTTCCAATTCAACCTCCTCAGTTTCCAGGGTCAAACATCCCAGCAAGTCCGTTTTGCTAAAGCGCCGGTTAAAGATTTGCGCTACTAAAGAACTGGTTAAACTGGTGCGTTGACCCACATGACACACTGGGTATGGTGATATGAATTAATAGCCCTTCTTGGACTCTCACGGGAAGTTGGGGAGGTGGGCAGCAAAGAGGGAGGAGAGATTTTGGTGGGCAAGGTGGGCGTAGTAGTGAGGCATTTGCAAAGGTGGAAGGTCAATGAAATGGAGAGCCAAAGGCTTGGATTGGAAGGGAATGTAAGGCAAATGGGTGTAAGGTGTGCGGAGTAGCTGGCGGCAACCTATGTGAGTACTTCAGGCAGACAAAAGTTTACGCTTGTTAGCCTTCTTACAAATCTGTCTGAGGTCAGCGGCGGATCGAATTAACAAGTCTAATTTTCGTGGCAGGTGTGGGACGGTCAATTATCACACCCTTTAAATTTGTAATAATAATAGGCTTTCCGGGGTGTCTAGAATGTGGCGTAGTTCTGGGTACGCTGCCTGCAAGTTTGCTCCAGCAGGCAGGGTACAGGGACAGTCCTCACGGGAGTACCATCCTGACCCTAAAGTTTTGCCACTGACTTCTTCTGCTGCTTGCACAAGCTCTTGTAGTGAGGCTTCACCACTCTCTTTGAGCAAACTACAGGCAATCTTCGGCAGTTCCTGTGGCATCAGCCACCGGTTCTTCGCCCGCAGGCCAATGGGGGCCTTGAGTAGGAGAGTTCGATGCTCCCTGAGGTTGTCGGCGTCTTGCTGGGCCTCCTCACTGACGCCCGGTATGAGCCCAGTACTGTGAAACATGGCCTTGTCATATTTCGTGCTGGCAGTATTGGCGGTCGCTTCCTCTTCACCTACCGGCCTTATGAAGAGGGCTTGCTGGTCCTTAAATGACCGCCCACACCTTCCCTTGTCTCATGGTGTAGGATTCTAGGGGGGTAGGGTTGTCATGAGTTTCAACATCAACAAGCGCAACGTTCATCTGGCCAGTGCGTTAAAAAAGGGGTGTTGCATTGACAGGTATCTGATTGGTTTTTTTCAAGTGAAATGTCAATCTACAAAGTACTCTGTCCTCTTTACACATACATACATACATACATACATACATACATA